GTTGGGCCAATGTAACAGTTAATATCGGGCCACTGTTGGGCCAATGTATTCTTTCAATATTGGACAAACGTCATTTTTGTACAGTTGGGCCATTGTAAGCAATTAATGTTGGGCCAACGGTAATTTGCTCATCGGCCCTTAATCAAACCAACTTGTTGGCTTATTGTTGGATCAATGTAACAGTTTATATTGGGCCACTGTTGGACCAATGTATTCTTTCAATGTTGGGCAAACGTCATTTTTGTACAGTTGGGAGTTGGGCCATTTCAAGCAATTAATGTTGGGCCAACGGTAATTTGCTCATCGGCCCTTAATCAGACCAACTTGTTGGCTTATTGTTGGACCAACGAACGGATATTATTGAGCCATTGTTGGGCCACTTATTCTTTCAATATTAGGCAAACGCCATTTGTGGACCAACGTTGGTTTGTATCTTATTGGATCTCCATCAGGACAACTCATTTGCTCTTCACTGGCTGGTCAATTGTCCTCAAAATTGAATAACAAACTATGTATAATAAGGTTATCGTAGCTTTGTAGTACAGTTTAATGGTAAAAGCCCTTTAATACTATATATGCTAGATTAATAGTTTAACAATATTTCATAGAATTACCATCAACAAGTATTGCATTGTAAGTAGCTCTACATTAATTGAAGAAAACTTAATAGGGGAAAAAATCATAATATAAAATTAAATTATAACATACTTATATTTTATTGCTCAATGCATGAAGAAAACATTAATAAAGAACACAAAGTTGATGCTCACTTGAAGCGATACATGACTGTATACTCCCTCTCTGATGTGAATTTATGCACAAGTTCAGTAAATTGCAGATTGATAGCACGTCTAAAAAATAAACAAAGCCCTCCTGTTCTTAAAATAATACTAAAATGAATCCAGCAATTTTGTTTACTTACACAAAAAAATGCATCTGACATCTGCATCATGTTTGTTACCGACAAATAGACACAGAAAAGGTGAGAACTACAGGTATGTCACAGTATATATCAGAAAAAAGCTAGGCACTGCCACTTTCCATCTGATCCCTCTCCTAAGTCTGCTCTTCTCTCTCCAGAGTCTCCTCCTCCCCTTCTTTTCTTCTCTGTCCGTTTCTTCCTCCCCCATCCCTGTCCGTGGCATACTTTAGCTTTGATTGTGTTCTCAATGTCTTTTTAGAATCTCCAGTAGCACTAAAATTGTAGTATTTGGTACTTAATATATTTGTTACTTGTCAGTAAAGAGTAAACATAAGATTAAATTTACAAGTATATCACTATATTTTTAAGCTGTCAATTGAGGAATAACCCTCTTTTTTGTTTCATGGTGTGATTAAGCGATTAGCTTGCTTGATGAAGGTATTTATGCATAAAATTTCTACGCTTGATCATCATCACACCGATTTTGGTTCAATGTTGCTCCATATAACTCATTACTCAAAGTAAAATACATGTATAGAAAATTTGTCAGTACACTGAACACATTTTAAATGAAAGAACCCAATTTATCTTTTAGTACTGAATAAATTTTGTTTTAACTTCAACATGTTCAACATTTTCAACATGTTTGATCATGTACTCGGTTTTAAGTGTATATAAGTAAAATGAGTGGTAGAAATTTATTCTACTAGACACAAATTTCAATCTAATTAAGGGGCAAATTATTTATTGTTTTAACTGTATCAAAACACATTTGTTATTTTATACTTTCATATAGTTTTCTTGTATAGAAACAATAAATTTAATCACTGATAATTTATTTTGTTTTGATAAATTTTAAGAACTTTAACAAGCCTTGTAAATTTATTTTAGCTAACTTGTATTTTCAAGAAGGATTGGTGGTAGATTTATTTCTGATTTTAGAGACTATCGAATTTGTTAATATACAGATTTGTAACAATTAAATGTTTATATATACACATTGGCCTACTGTTGGTCCAATATATCAAGCCAGAATTGGGCCAATGAGCAAAATGACACTGGGTCAACGTCATTTGCCAAAATCGGCCCAATGTTCTTGTTGACGTTTGGCCAAGATTTGCCCAATGTCGCATTAATTTGGACAATATTGTCGCAACGTTGGGCCAATATCTGTAGAAATAACACTCTACATTGGGCAAACGTTGGAACAACATATCGGGCCAACATTGGGCCGATAAGCAAACTTACATTGGGCCAATGTCATTCGCCAACATTGGCTCAATGTAACCGATAACATTGGCCCAACGTTGGCCCAATGTTAGCATGCTATCTGGGACAGTGTTGACTCAACAGCACCTGGCCTCTGCACTGATTTACACAGATTTGTACACGATATCGTTTAAACTATGGACGTTAATTAAGCTGTGTCGAAGCAAACATATTATAAATACTTACAAAGTGGATGCAGATATGCAAGGCACCAGTCTCGTTACGCTCGTGTCAGGTTAAAAATGGTGCGGATATTACAAGTAGCCCGGATGTTGTCTACCCATGATGCTCAACCAGATTCATGTTATATTGGGCCAACTTGGGGCCGATGCCAATACCCCAACAAATATTTTCTCTCATGATAATAGTTTTATGATATAACGCCAACAGTTAGCCCAACATTGGCCCCATTATACATAATCAACTACATATATCAATATTCCATCTTGGACCATTGTTGGCCCATTAAATGTAACCTAACAGCGATAATACAAACATAATGTAAGATTGGACCAACGATGTTCTGCTATCTGGGATTCACATCCTGTTCCTGAGAACTTTTAACTAACAATTATTCAGTCTTCTCGAAATTCTCATGAATACAACGCTCATGTAAAAAATCATAATTTTAAGCTTTTTATTACAAATAAATAAGCATGCACACAATTCAAAAAATAGAATAAAACATTCTTTGGTGCTGTGTTCACTTAAGTTCATAGTTAACATGTTGAAAATATCATATTTAAACAAAAGCAGTCATCCAATGAAAAGCAAGGACATAGAATATCCTCTTAATTATTTCAGAATGTGTATCTAAATTAATATTTGGAACCAACGTTGTCCCAACGTAAAGCTCAGCAGCTAATTATAAAATTACACCATCATTTAGTTGGCAGTATAATAATTGGACCGACGTTGGCCCAATATAAATATCCCATCTTTGAAACACCTAAACAAAATAACACTCTTGCTAACATCGGGCCAACGTTGGGCCAACATTCTATTATCAACTTCATAAGACATTTCTTTAAGGGTGTATTACAAACATTGGGCCAACGTTGGGCCAACATACTACTACCAACTTGATTTGACGCATTCTTTACGGGTGTACTACAAACATCGAGCCAACGTTGGGCCAACATACTACTACCAACTTGATTTGACACATTCTTTACGGGTGTACTACAAACATCGGGCCAACGTTGGGCCAATATACAACTACCAATTTGAAAAGACACTTTATTTAAGGTTGTAATATATACATTGGGCCAACGTTAGGCCAACATCAGCACCCTTCCTTCCTTGGAAAGTAAAATGAATGGAAATTGCTTATGTTGGACCAACGTTGGGCCAACAAAGGAATTCTGTCATGGTCGAGAAGGTTGACATGGTAACATTGGTCCAACGTTGGCCCAACGTTTTTCCCCCAACGCCAACCATACAACCTTTTACCAGTGTTGGCCCGACATAGTCATGCTATCTGGGACCCTCGTATAATATTTGGTTAGATAGATATTTCTTTATAAAATTGAATGAAGATCAGTGAAACAGTCAAAGTGGGAACTATAATGGGGGTATAATAGTTTTCAATAGAGAATATTATGTATGCAGGGAAAACCCTTTTAAGAGTAGCAGATTCATATTGTCAACTCAAACATTACTTAATTGTGTGGACCATTTTTTTTCATTAAATCAGGGACACTGTAATAAATTTTGGACCAATTTGAAATGAACAAGGAAGAAGCTATTTAAATGTTTTTCAGGAGGAAATATTGGGATAATATATGTCATATTTATATGGGGATTCCAGTGTGCGGACTCTGGTTTGTTTTATTATTATCTCTCTCAGTATGTTCAGTAAAGGCAGTAATAAGGGTTCAAAGTGTTTAAGTGTCAAATATGTGGGAACATCTGCCACCGATCAAAGCATCAAAATAATTTGATTCATCCCTTCCATTGTTTCGTACAACAAATTTTAGAACAGCCATCTTTATATACATTTTATTTTTTTTTTGCTATGACGTATTCATATATCACCTTGCTTTATGATAAATATGAGGACTTCAAATTTTGAATCGTGAAGCAATATATCTTCTTCCCCTGCATACGATGTACTTATTTCTCAGTTTAATTCGATGAGCAAAAATATCGGTATCGCATGAACGATTTATAAAACCAGGTCAATAATTGACAGACAAGTTGCAGAAACAAGATTATCAGCAGTCTCGTTTAAAGTTCTCATTTCGTAAGCTCTAAATCGATACACGTGACCTGAATCAGCAAATATAATTAATAAATAAGTCGAATCCTGACTGACTTTTCATCTGATCCTCTCTCTGATGTTTTGGAGGTTCAAGTTTTTTACTCTGCAATTTTGTATCGTTAAATGGACCTTCGTGCAGATATACTGTTCGTTATCTCCATATATTTCATTTGCCTCTAAGTTATTTAACGTGGCTGCAGCGTTTCAATTAAAAGTGATGCATTTCATCCTTGTCAAAAAATATACTGTAAATCAATATACTTTTAAAACTTTACATTATTGAAATTTAGAAAGAGAATTTTTTTTTTGACTATTCTAATTTTATTAGGAAAAAGAGTATTGTCAACACCTTAGTGCTGTGAATAACTTTTTTAACTTTGATGAATAAGGGTATAATATGATCGGTATTTTGATTTTAAACATGGCGACCAACGGGAAATAATTCTTCCTTGTATCACTTTCATTTTAAACAGGTTCATGTTTAAGTCATTGATAAAAATATACATCTCGCTTCAAATTCGAATGTTTTTCTTCCTTATCGATTTTAATCATTACTTTTGGATTTATAACGTAAAGTTAACTTGCAACAGGGTTCATATTTTAGGAATTAGAATGAATAAGTCTAGAAACTAATGTGAAGATAATGCATTACTCTGGAGATATCACAAGCTTAATATTTGTGTTACTTTTTTGATTCAGAATACTTATCATGAGCTTATTCCTGTTGACCCAAAATGTAAAGATCCCATAACGTAAGTAATTAAGCTTTTGTTAAAAAAATTATGCAGTGTATTGAATCCTTATTTTAAAAATCAGAAATGTAGTAGAAAATGCATATTAATCATTCATCTGTATTTCAGAAATACTATTCGATGCTGTAGTAACTATAGAACAATAGGAGATAAATGTTACCGTGAGTGCTTTTATTCATTAAATAAATCGATATTTTATGCAATAACTAGACAAGTTCCCCTAAATAACTATACAGCACTTAGATAAAAGATGCCTATTGCTTTTAATGACCCATAGTATGGGATGCAGAAAACCTATTGTTATAATAATTGTACTTATTTACCATAAATTCAGCATGCATGGACTCATTCGGAATTGAATGCAGCAAATCATGCCCTGAGGGATACCATGGTGTAAATGGTGAGGAAAAATGTCTTTGTAATACAACACAATACATTGTTGGATGTAATACAACAACAGGGGCTTGTTCCAATGTAACAAATAAAATCCGTAAGTGTATATGATATGAATCCAACAGATAAGTTTTTAAATCAATTATGGCACACCATCAAAGTAGCCCAGTCGGAAGAGCGCTACATGTTCAGTTTGCGACGACTGAACTTTGGAGTACCTGGTTTTACCACAGAATGTTTCTGATTAAAGAACTTATCAACTGATCTGCTAAAGAAATTATTGTACAGATTTTCTGTTTTTGATATGTTTTTTTTCAGTTTGCATTGGGGGCACTGGTCATGATTGTTTAATACCCTGTCCTAAGGGATATTATGGCGAAGGATGTAGAGAAAAGTGTTTGTGTGAAGACTGTGATAGAACTGGTGCCTGTGCTGATAAAAAGACAACAGGTACTCAGAACTATGTCTATATTTCTGTGCTTTGAATCATTAAACTCATGAAAGCTTTTCAGCTGGTGTGGAGATGTTGTAAAGTAGGATTTCTTTCATAGTCAGATACTTCTCCCGGAATCTCAATTTTTTAGAATGATTTTGCAATGTACTTATTAACCTAAACGTCTTTCGCTGAGTTTGATTTACCTCTACGTGAATGTTAAATTATCTTTCACGTCGTATAAAACTAAACATTATTTTTTGGCAAAACAAATATATGTTTACTAAAAAAAATCTTTAACTGAAATAAAATTTTGAATCTAGTATATGAATTAAGAAATGCCTGTATATATTTTCAATCTATGATTCGAGTAATTCTTTAGTGTGTCACAGAGGATGATGCAAAAATAGAAATGATGATTTTACTTTTTATAATTGACTGACAGACGGATCAGTAAGATAGATAGAAAATAAAATTTTTGAGAGATATTATTTTTTTTTAAGAAATTGCACTCTATAAACTGAGGAAGAAGCCTTCCTCAATAAATTGAATCTGTTGTAGGTTATCGTGAAGTCGTACTCTAATGTCCATTTTTGAACGTTCTATTTTTGCTGTCAGGTACATGTATGCGAGGGAAAGGATTGTATGCTATCAAACTAATGTAAATTATTAGTGCTGCTTTGAAAAATGCATATGAAAAACATATGAAAAAAACCCAACATAAGAGCCACCAAGCTTTATTCATTGGTAAATTGAGCAAATTACATTAACTTGATCATTTTTCTTATATTTTACAAAGAAAATACAAACATGTTCGTGGTTTTTCATGGTGAAATAATTATTTTTCATACTTTTTTGGAGTATTCAATGAATCTATATTCAAAAGTCAATGTCTCTTTCGTTTGTTGTATTATTAAAAATATGACTTTAAAACTGTTGTTTCCGTAAAACAGATCATGACAACATTATATAAAAGAATACGTTTTGAGTCACCATTCCCCACCAGATCCGTTACATGGACATTGTCATGAATATATGTCTCGACTGTTTATTTAAATAATTTGTTTGTGTCGCTGAACGTCCCTCTCTTTTTAAGGAAATATTTTCAGATTTATTGTGTTTTCATAAAATGTTTACCTTTTTATGAAATAAATTTGTCGGGTTCACTTCTACGAAATGCTTCATATTCCTTGTATATAGATAAATTAATAATGAATGATCGAATCTTTTTTTTTTTAATTTTATTTTTTTAAACACAATTCATTTCATACAGAATATTCATAATTAGTCATTGTGACATAATTGTGCATTTTTACATATATGAGAAAGAGAGAGAGAGAGAAAGAGAGAGAGAGAGAAAGAGAGAGAGAGAGAGAGAGAGTGGGGGGAGGGAGGAGGGAGTGGGAAGAGAGTGAGAGTAGAGAGAGCTACAAAAAGAGTTGGTTCCACCTGTTCCACTGAGTGTCAAATTTTTCTTTTTCACCATTTTTATATGATATATATTTTTGTGTTTGGTAAAATTGATTTAAGTGTGATATTGCTGAGTGCACATTTAGAGGTTTTTCGGTACATCTAGAAGTATAAATATAATATTTTAGCCATAAAACTATAATATTCGCTATTTCATTATTTTTTCCTTTAATGCCTAAAATGAAATTCTTTTTGGTTATGGGCAACTGGAGATTTCTCTGTTGGAGATGATATTCAAAATTTTCAAGGAATAGTTGTACAAAGTCACATTCCCATAGGATGTGTTCAATTGTCTCTACTTCTCTTTGACAAAAATTACACTGCTTAGAATCTACCTTTCTGATTTTGAATAAAAATGAATTAGTTGCCAATATTTTATTTAGAATTCTGTACTGAAACCACTGGAGTTTACAGTTTTTTGTAATTTTAAATGGTAATTTATGGATTATTTTGGATTCCTTGTTATCTAATTCAAATAATTCAATCCATTTCTTAAAACCAGCTGACACAGAAGAGTTTTGATTTAATATTTCATAGAAATTTTTTTATTTTTTACATTTTGATACCAGATAACAATTAAATGTAATAAGAGGATTTTCTGATTTTTGGAAATTTTTCTCAAAATTACTCCTCTTTATCCAAGCTTTAACTGCATGGATTAAACTAGAATATTCTAAAAAATTAATCTTTACATCTGGATAAATATTGCAAAAGCATTCATAGCTATAAAAGGTACCATCTACTCCAATGATATCATTGATATATCTAATATTAATGTCAAAAAGTTTTTTACTATAAAAGGTTTTCCCTCCAATATGGATATTAGGGTTATAAAACAATGGACAGCCCACATTTACCTCAGAATTACTACAAATTTTATTCAAATCAATCCAGGACTTGAACACATCAATCCAGAATTTATTTTTTAAGTTTTTTATAAGTTGAGTGATGTATTCAATTCCACAGGATGTGAATTTATACATGTTCATATTCTTTATGAAATTTTCCCACCATTTATTAGTATAAACCAGATGTCTAATCCAAAATAATTTCAATGAAGCAATGAAAGAATATAAATTTATCATTTTCAGTCCTCCATCTTCGTAGCTTTTAACAATGACATCTTTCTTAACTCTATGTGTTGAGTTATTCCATAAGAAAGAGAAAAACAATAAACATTAGGTGGATTTGGGATTGACATAAGTAAATGATTTGATATCGGTAAAGCCATCTTTATAACAGTAATTTTTCCTATTGGTGTTAAAAACCTTTTTCCCCATTGCCTAAGAATGGATTTTATTTGTACTAGCTTTGGTTGGTAATTTATTTCAGGCACTTTTTCCAAGTCAACATCAAAATTTATTCCTAACAAAGTAAATCTAGTTGTTCCCCAATTAAGTTGGTAATTTGGGATTAAAACCTCATCGCTGTATTTTTTTGATCCAATCTAGACAGTGTGTGTTTTTGAGTAATTAATACATAGTCCAGACATTTTCGAAAAAGTGTTCAAGGTATTCAGTGTTTCTAAAAGAGACTCCTCACTTCCGTCAAGAATAAGGGAAGTATCATCCGCAAGTTGAGATATCTTTTTTTTCTACATTTCCAAATGGTAATACCTTTTATTTTTTTATTTTTCCTAATTTGTATAGCTAAAATCTCAGCGCATATCAGAAAAATATATGGAGACAAAGGATCTCCTTGTCTGCATCCCCTTTGAATTTTAATTACATCAGAAAAGTTACCTCCTTGATTAATCGTAGCTTTAATGTCAGTGTAGAAAAGAGTGACCCATTTTCTAATGGAAGGGCCAAAATTTAAAAAGTGCAAAGTTTTTTGTATGAAGTTCCAGGAAAGAGAATCAAAAGCTTTTTCAAAATCGATTAATAATAAAAGTCCTGGAATATCTTCTTCTTCTGTAAAGTGCATTACATCATATATCAATCTTATGTTTTCTCCAATATATCTGTTTGAGATAAAACCAGTTTGGTCAGGGTTGATTATTTTATCTAAATATTTCTTAAATCTGTTTGCAATAGAGCCAGATGCTATTTTATATACAGTGTTTAGCAATGTAATAGGACGCCAGTTTTTAATGAAATGTCTTGGCTTGTCGTCCTTAGGTAATAAAGTTATAACTCCATGTCTTTGCGTAATAGACATAATATCATTCCTGTAACCATAGTTAATAGATCTTACAACAAAATGCCCAATATATTTCCAAAACATTTTAAAAAACTCTGTGGAAAAACCATCTGATCCTGGAGATTTTTTAGCCTTCATATTATAAAGAGTATTCGAGGCTTCTAACAAGGTTATTTCGCCCTCTAAATTGTTTGATTCTTCACAAGAAAGTTTGGGAGCATCAGTATTATTTAACTCATTATCTAGATTTAAGTCTGTATTTTCTTCTTTAATGGTGTATAGATTTTCATAGAAGGATTTAATTTCTTTCAAAATATGTGACTGATCATGAATAATCTTGCCATTATCTATTTCTAATTTTGGTATAATTTTACTTGTAAAATTTCTAGACTCCAGTTTGCAAAAGTAACTAGTGGGCTTTTCCCCCTCCTCAATCCATCTTGCTCTACTTCTTATGTAATTACCTTGTAACTTGTGCTTTCTAATTTTTTCTAATTCTTGTTTTTTATCATGTAGTTCTTCTAAATTACTTTCAGAAATATTTTCTTCCATACATTTAATGTCCTTTGTTTTCAGTATTTCTTTTGCAACCTGCAAAGTATCTTCACCTTTTTGTTCTTGCACCCCAAATATTTTCACATTGTTTTTGCGACTATATTGTTCGTTGTAGTTCGCCTTGACTGTTGCAAAAGAGGCAAGTTCTTCTGCTTGTTGGACTCTGGTGTCTAGGTCACGATTTTTTTGTTGTTTTCGCATATTTTTTCTCGGAGTGTTTCATTATCAAGTGTCAGTTTGTCCACGCTTTGACGCAATGATCGAATCTTAATTTTACTGATGTTTAATGTTCAAATGTTTGCCCACCTACATATTAAGACTGGTATTATAATTTATAGATTTTGAAATGCATGTCGACTTGATGTCTCTTAAAATGGAAATAACTTTCTGTAAGCAATAGCTTGTGCAGTGTATGACTTTATTTTACTGAAAAAAAAAACAAACTTGAACTTCTAATTAAAATTCTGATGATCTGTAATACAGTAGTTGGTAGAACATAACAGGCCTTGAATAAGAGTCTACTTCAAATTACTAAAATTACTAAATTACTCTATCAATAAAAGGAAAAACAACATTAAACAACCGAAATTATTTTTGTCTACAGTCTTTAACTGTTAAAAAACAAGAGAAAAACTTGCTGCTTGTTCCCAATATCTTTAAATTTTGTTTTTTCAAACTCCGTAAAAATAATATAATAAATATAGCCCTTTAATTCGGTCAATCCATGTAGATACATGTATCTATGGTTCGACCTCATCAAAGGGCTATATTTATGCATAGTCTCAAAAACATCAAATCGTTAAGCAAACGACTTCACCTAAGTACTTTCAAATACGAACTCAATAATAAAATATAAAATGTACAAATGAGGCTTGAATTGAATAAATAATTTGTTAACAATTGTTTTAACAATAATCTGAGTTGTTTCAAATAATAAACAGTGCATGAAATCGTAGAGATACAAAATGCAAAACTCTGTCTAATACATGTATGTCACATCAACAAAGATAACAGAGGGTTGTAAACAAGAGTATCCAGAGCAAATAAATCGCGCTATTACAGTTCATTTATGTATAATAATATCTCTATTTCAGTTCATGTATAACTATAAGAACGCGAGCTGTTTATAAATAGGTTAAATAGAATAAATACAAAACATGTTCTTAGAAACAAAAAAAAGTCACTAACAAATGAAATAATGTTCCTGGCAAGATGCAATTATATAAAGTACATGATAAATTACAATACAATGACAGAGCTTAATAATCTTCAAATATTGTTTTACAAATAAACATTCATCGGCTTTAGATCTTATAAAATATGTGAGAAAAAACTTTAAAAGGCTAATTGAGGGAAAAATGGAAACTAGAATGCTAAAGAGGAAAAAGTTAAGTTGAAAGTTTTGGAAATTGTTTTACACTGAACCAAACTTTTAAGTGTTCACCCAACATTTTTAACTTTTAAAGAACAAATGCATACAATAAATAATTTCTTTAATTCATGGTTAATGATGAATATTTCAGTTCGGTGTTGCGTAAATTTCATGTAAGTATCTCGTCAGAATTTTAAGCAAAGTGTCAAGGAAATGATGTACCCTCAAAGTGAAAATTCACACAAAAAAATCTCTATGGAGTAAGACCGCCACTCGCTCCAGACAATTACTGTAAGACATCTTTTAATGTTGGATACCATGTACCCCTGAATAGGAGTTTGACCCATCTGTTGCCACACCTACTGCAGAGATCTTTCCAAACCGTTGATATTATGTGGAGGGGGCTTTGACATTCCTTATACAAATCACAAATGTGTTCAAAGGGATTCAGATCCGTGAAGTTGACAGTGCATCATCACACAAAGGCCTTTTGGTCAATATCCTTGGACATTTGCAAATAAGTGCATCGCACTTATTGAAGATTCAGACTGCTTGAGCTGATATTAGACTGTCACGAGCACCGATTTCTTATCATTTTCATACAATTGAAATTGTTTATTTTCATGTTTTGTTTCCATCCGTGGGGATACGGGTTAGAATAGGTCCCCAGTACCCCATTGCTTGTGGTAAAAGGCGACTAAATGGGGCGATCCTTCGGATGAGACCTTACAAACCGAGACACTGTGTTGCAGCGGGTGTGGCATGATAAAGATCCCTCCGTGCTCAAAGGTCGTAAATGCCGAGCATAAGCCTAAATTTGCAGCCCTTCACCGGCAATGGTGACGTCTCCATATCTGTGAAATACTCTGGAGAGGGACTATAAACAGTATACAATCAATCAATCTAAGTTTGTTTTAGGGCAATTAAATACTTTTTAAACCTGGTATGGTGCAAAAAAAAAAAAGATCAAGGTCACTTCCGGTTTGGTTAAATTTTAACCAAATGAAGCTTTTCACATTATGATAAATTAACAATAAAATTGACACAGAGCCTATAGAAAAATATGTTTAAATGGGTTGTGACACTGGTTGTTAAATTTTAAAAGTAATATCAAGGAAAATTAAACACTAAAATAAGAGTGAGGAAAACGTGGTACAAGGGTGATCCAGATATCAACATTCCAACGGCTCTCCCTTCTATGTCAATGGTTAATTTGCCAATGTTTTGTGTTTTTAATGAGATCGTGTTTTAAAATTTAATAATGATCACAAAAAGATGTTAATTACACAAAACACATACCGCAAAGAACATATTTATTGTTTTTAAGCTTCGTCACAGAACGTCGATTTTCATCAGTGATATTTGATATTCTTCAAAATATTTTTGAGAAGACTCATTTATTGTAATAATTTTAAAATATTATACTATTCTATAAAGTAGTGTTTAAATAAATACGTTTATTAAAGTGAACACTTAAAAGTTTTGTTAAGTGTATATAGATTGTTTTTCCTTCCAGGTCTATCACTTGTTTCATTGGCTGTTTTAGCGGTGGGTGGGATACTATTTGTGGCAACATGTGCTGTTTGTGTCATGATGAAAAGGTAACCAATGTTCAGAAGTTTTAAATCATTTGATTTTTTTCGCTTATTAAAAGACAGTAATCGTCTTTAACTACTAAAAAAATGTTAATGCTAGTAGATTATTTTATTCTTTTATACCGTCGAAATTGAATAATCAGGGCATATGTTTTATTTTCTCCGTCTCTATATTTATTTGTCTCTCAATCTTTTTGTCCGAAAAAAAGCAAAAAAAAAAAAAAAAACCCCATCAACCTTGCCTATAAATTTTTTAATGAAAGTCATGGCTTTTTTAGGTGTGTATTCCAACTAACAATTGTCTTTTTTTTTGGGGGGGGGGGGTGTTGGGGTCCTAACATATTTGACCTCTTGACCGTGGAGTTTGATGCATTTTCACAAAAAAATAGCAAACATTTACGTGGTCCATAACTATTAAACGACTGGTGATATAAAGATCATACTTTTTGTGTTCTCTTGTGTCAAGACCTTTTATTGGGAAGCAAAAATATTAACCATTTGACGCTGACATTTGAGTTTTACTTTTACATTGGCAATAAATTACACAAAATTGTGAAAATCACATATTTTCGTGGGATCAAATTTTTTAGGTTTGAGTAAATGTTCTTGATTCGTGGGGAATTGAATTCGTGGATAAAGAATTTTTGAGTAGTAATTTACATGTATGTAATATTAATATTTTACATTTCCAGGTAGACATGAATTCGTGGGCATATTCATACTGCTTTTTTTTTTCTTTTGACGTAAAAATCAAAAGGTTTGTCCATTAGAAAATAAGAAATATGGGGTTTTCAATTGTTAACTTCCCTTACTAATGCAGCAATAATGCAATATACATTCATTTCCTGCCAAATTAGGTCCATGCATACACAAGAACATGCCCTACGTATGAGCGAAAAAGAGCATTACAGTTATCATTTCTTAAGTACTAAGGTCGATACAATGATTTTATCAGCAAACACAATTTACCATTATGTCAAATGCTGAAGTTTTCTCATATTTATTGTTAGACCATTATTTAGACAATGAATTGTCGGCGGAATTTCCTGTTATTTCCCGATTACATACTTGTATTTGTATTGTCGTATTCCATACCTTTTGTTACACTATTGATTTTCTTCTTCTTTCGACGAAGAAATACAACCTTAATTTACCTGACAGCTACAATACTAGTAGTCTGAAGGTTGTGACCGAATAGGATAGGCTTACTCCTCTTATCATTTGATCCCTTACCAAAGTAAAATTATTGCAGCAATATTGCTGCTATATTGCGGCAACATTGCGGCAACACATTTTTGTCACCAGAAACAAGCTTTTGGGTTAGTGAAATATCACCGCTAACTGCAACAACTTCTTGTGACATTCTGGCAATACTGCCAGAAAAAAATGAAATATCACCGCTAGCTGCAACAACTTCCGGTGACATTCTGGTAATACTGCCAGAAAAAACTTTCTGGCAACATCTAGGATTACCCATGAGCCATTTGTTGAGCATGCTCAGTCATTTACTTCCTCTTTTTGAATAAAGTGGAGGGAATTCAAAGGCAAGCATGTTTTGCTTCATTACTGACTTGTATCAAGTTAATTAGAGTTGTCAATTGTGTACAGTGGGATTAGTCAAGATGAGTAGTAAGACTGCAAAGTGTGGAATGACTAGAAAAAAGAATTTAAGCAGAATTATAGGAATGTGTACTCTGCTTCCATATCATCAGACTTGGTGAGTCAAAACCAATATTCTTTTTGAGATGAATGATTCAATGGAGATAAAATTGGAAAAATTATATGTGTTTCAGCTAGTGCTTGTGATGCATGCATACTAGACTTGTATATCTATATGTCCTAAAGTAGCAGGAAAAGATGAATTATAGCATGTTATTTGAAAATTAATGCAGAGTTGCTGGACATTTTCACAGTGGCATATTAATATTGTTTCTATAAACATTTTCTATGCTCCCGCCTCGATAGATCGAGGGCACATATTGTTTTTGTCCTGTCTGTTTGTTTGTAAACTTTAACCTTCACCATTACTTTTAAACCAATGAGAGATAAAGATTTAATATTTGGTATGTCTACTCCACTAATTAAGTTCTTTCAAATGACATCAAGGTCAATGACCTTGTGACCTTGACTGTGACCTACCTATATGCTAAAAATAGCTTTTCCAAATATTGATCATTACTTAAAATTAATGAAAGATAGAGACTTTATATTTAGTATGCATAAGTCACTAATTAAGGTTTTTCAAAAGACACCTGAAGGTCAAAGACATTGAGACCTTGGCTATGATCCATTATCCTTAAAATAGATTTTTTGAACCTTGGACATAACTTTTGAGCCATAAAAGATAGAGAACTTGTATTAAGTATGCACCCTTCATTATTTAAGCTCTTTCAAATAACACCAAGGTCAATGACCTTGGGACCTTGACTGTGACCATATACTTAAAATAGATTTTTTGAAACCTCGAAATAACTTTTGAGCCATAAAAGATGGAGAATTCGTATTTGGTATGTGCCCTTCACTATTTAAGCTCTTTCAAATAACACCATGGTCAATGACCTTGTGACCATGACTGTAACCATATGCTTCAAGTAAGATTTTTTGAAACTTCGACATAACTTTTGAGCCATATAAGATAGAGAACTCGTATTTGGTATGCGCCCTTCACTAATTAAACTCTTTCAAGTAACACCAAGGTCAATGACAATTTGACCTTTACTGTGACCCATATGCTAAAAATAGCCATTTTGATCCTCAGCCATAAATTTTGAACTATAAGAGATAGAGACTTCATATTTAGTATGCGTACTCCTAGGGGTGGAAGGATACACAGATCTTGCGATACGATACGTATCTTGATAAATTGGCACGATACGATACGTATCTCGATATTATGATAAATCATAAAACTATTAAAAAATAGTATTTTATTTCATTTTTTTTTTTGTCTTAACATTAACACAATATGATAAATTATAAAACTATTCAAAAGAATTAGTATTTTATTTAATTTTTTTCTTGACATTAACTCAAAAAGTATTCTATATCAAATCATGTGTGCTATGAAATTAATCCTTGAAGTTCATAAACTTCATTGACTAAAATTTTACAAAAACAATAGTACAGGACAATTGTACATATTACCAAATTTCTATTAACAAGTTGTTTACAAATTGTTGTGTAGTTTATCGACGAACACTGACTAAAAATTCATTTAAAAAATCACATTTACATTATTATTAATTGCTGAAAGTCTGTAGCCAAGTTGAGATTACAAAAATAGTATGGATGGACTAACAATTAATAATATCAAATGTTCTGGATTCGATACTTTTCTGTGTTTAGCACGCTTTGCACACTAAACTTTTTTTGTCCAATCTTCCGAGGCTGCTTAAAAGTGAAAACGTATTACCCCTAATCAACGACTTATCAGTTCTAAAGTGTTTTTTCAATATCAACACCATCTCTTCGCTTCGTGCAGGCCACCATTTTCAAGGACAGGTACTTTCATTTTCAATTTTTGGATAGGTCGTTCGTGTATTGTTTCGTACCGATATTTGAATGCTTGTATCGTAAACCGTATCTTAGAGGAAAATATCGATATGTATCAGTGTATCGATATATCGTCACACCCCTACATACTCCACTAATAAAGTTCTTTCAAATGACACCAAGATCAATGACCTTGTGACCTTGACTGTGCCCTTATGTTATAAATAGCTTTTTCAAACTTTATTGGCACCAGACGCATAGTGTTTCACAAACATATCTTGATTTTCATTATGATGATCAACATAATTTTCTATCTGTTCAAAGAATAGCAGAAGTAGCTCTATTTCTTATTGACCCTGTGGCTTGCTATTGTTTGTTATATTCCTCAGCACAGTTTGTTAATTGTTAGATTGATAGATCATTATTTCTATAAATTACCAACTTAATTATGTAGTACGTACTATAGTGTTGCCCAAATATTGCTGCAGCACAGCCTGAAATAAAACATGCACTGCAATTGCTTTGCAGCAATATTGCCACAAAACTAATTAATATACAAAAAACGATATTGCCGCAATATTGCGGCAATAATGCCGGAAGATGTTGCCAGAAGATCAATATTTTGGTCATGATTTGCAGCAATATTGCCGCAACCCCTTTCTGGCAATATTGCCGCAAAACTAATTTACATACGAAAAACGATATATAGCCGCAATATTGCTGCAATGTATTGCCAGAATGTTGCTGCAATATTGCGACAATAATGCCAGAAGATGTTGCCAGAAGGTCAATATTTTGGTAAGGGATGTTATTTTAGAGGTTTTAGTATGTCACTGGTGAGCAGGTGAGAAGACGTGTTTTAACTTGCTCCAAAAAATTGGCTAATAATTGTTTGTTCTACGACAAATCCGTATCAATTTATGGGTGATTAGGATTTATGAACATATTTTCTGTATATTTATGAATATTATCTAGAAAAATCGATGTTAATGGCAGGACTCATACGATTTGTGATTAACATTGGGGGATTGTAATTCCAATCATTAACAATAGAGTCTAGTGTTAATCTCAACAATCAAACCTGTATATATCAAAACTTCAAAAATAAAGTGGATCAAACGAATAAAATCAGTTATTTTGAAATGTACAAGGCGCTATATCAAAAGATAGGAAATGAAGTTCAGTGTATCCAACTAGAACGGGATCTATGGAGAGTATACCTTACCTTAAAACAAAAGAATGTAGAATATATTGCTAGTTATAGCAGGGTTTGTGGTTAGAAACATCTCTGTACATGTATATGATACAAACCCCTACTCCACCGGAGCTACTGGTCCAAATGATAGAGTTCTGAAGGTTCTGTTGTTCAATATGTCCGTTATTGTATTACCTATAATATTAAAAAAAAACCATTTGATCCATGGCAGCTATTTACACCTTTTTTTATTGCAGAAACATTGGTTTCTGAAATGATTTTCCTCGTAAATCTTTATTTTTCTTTTTGAATGATTTTACAGGAGATTGTTCCTAAACGTCAATCGTAACTATGTGCAAGAAAGTTTTTGTCCAAATGATGCAACTTCTCAAAGTTACGCAAAAGTAGACGAAAATGTGTATAACGAATGTGAAGGACATTCCCTCGGTAACACTGCATCAACTAAAAGCAGTCGTGAAAGACATTACAATACATATGATGTACCCCAAGAAGATGTCCAAAAGACAGCAAAACCATCAATCCTAGCTCTTCTGAGGAGAAAAGATAATTCTGATACAAGGATAACGAAAAGTGAATACATTCATGTTGTTGAAACACAGGGCCCTTTTGCAGAACCAGCCTCTGGAAGTGCTCAACCGCCATCCGTACCACCACAAACGTCATCACAAGAAGTGACTTTATCTAACTCCAAAAAGTTGTCATGTTCAAACATACAACAAAGGATAACTTTTTTTGAAAATCAGCACAAAAAAGATTGATTTACATCTTGTTCCTGTCTTCAGGAAGTAGTTCCTACATTTTACAATATTTTATATTTGCCTGATCTAGAGAATATAAAAAAAATCAATAAGGTCGAATGTCATGTCAAGATCATTGACACATAGTTGTAAGGCCTGATAATTTACCTCTACTAACTAGGTTCCTCTTCTAACAAGCAATAAATGTTTTTTGTCGGTTAATTAAGGATATAAGCTGAATTAATATTCAAATTACGAGTATAAGGAACACGTATATCTTCAGCTGCAGCAAGTATTAGGACACGAAATAACACGAAATAACAAAGGGTAACTTTTTTTTTTGATAAAACATCACAAATAATGTTTATTATTATACTTCTGTTAAAATGTTTTCTATATGAAGTTCAGAAGGTAAAAAAGTTATCTTTTATAGTTCACGCATAGCAAAGCTATACCCCGGGGTATAGTTTTTGCTATCCACCCTCGGAAAATTTTCATGCAATTTTTGCCTCCAATTTTGATTTCCAGCGATAAATCTATTGACTGATGATGTCATAATGACTTCAGTAACATTGTGACGTCATCAGGATTTCAGATTATTCTTGCAGTATTTTCTTACTCAGAAAAAATTAAAACCTCTGAAATTATATTATACATCAGTATAATAAAACGCTTATTCACTGGTTGTGATTGGGATAGCTCTTTTATCAAACCCTTGACAGGGACTATTCCCCTCGGGCAAGCCCTCGGGGAATAGTTCCCTGTCGCGGGTTTGATTAAAGAGCTATCCAACTCACAACCAGTGGATAAGTGTATAATATACATAAAGTTCCCTTTTCACGAAGTAATTCAGTATTTAACGATAAAATATTTGCATGATCTTTGGAATATAAAAAATCAGTAAGGTCGAATGTCATGTCAAGATCTTTGTTAGATATTCTTAAGGTCTGATACCTTATAGTCGGTCTATTTACAGGCAATAAATGTTTTTGTCAGTTAATAAAAGATATAAGCTGAGTTAGTATTCAATACATGAGTGTAAGGAACACGCATAACTTCGACCGCAGCAAGAATAAGGATAAGTTTGTGGATACCAATCCTGATTTGACTTGTGATGTTCAGTTTATGAGGTCAACAGAAGGTATAGTTTGTGCTATATTGCGCCCTTAAAAGGTAAGGTTTTCAAAAAGTTATGAAATTGGTTTAATTGTGAGTTGAGTACATGAATGTGATTATCCATAAAAGAATATAGCATGAAGGAGGACCATTCATTAACTTTTCTGAACTTTACAGTACATGTCTTAATTTTAAACAAAATAAGTTATTCGAAGGGCTATTTCCTTACATAATAGATAGTAATATTCCACTGAAAATTGATGTTTTTTGCAACTTTCTAAGAAAATACGGAAATGCTCAATTTATAATGACATCAAAATTAGTATTTTGGGGGTCAGATAAGAAAAAAAAATTGTGTATTCTTGCTATATTTTGAATTGCTGTCATTAAGAATGGATGGATTTTAATTTCCGACATCACTTCAATATCATAGAATAATACAAGGCCAATTTGAATTTGAAAGCTTTAAAGGTATTGAAGCAATTCTTTAGCACAATAATTACTATTCTTATCCATTGTTTTAACGATATTAAGATAGGTAAAAATTAAAGAAAAAGGTCAAGTTCTGGCTCTTTAACTCAGTTAACTTTATACATTTCAAGCATGCTGCTTATTAATGACCTACCTCACTTGCTTTCAGTATAGGTCAAGATAAAGTTTTAAAAAATAATGACTACATTTTCAACATTATAATTTCTTCTTTTTTTTAATGTTGGTGTTTTGTCTTTGTTTGTTTTACGTCCCTTTCATTCATATTGAGAAATCAAAGCGCGCTGGTTAAAGACTCTAAACTTTGACTTGTACTAGGCACCAAGGGTCATTGCTCAAGAAATGATCTTTCTTGTACCAGTATCTCAGTTGTGCTTTCTTTATGTTTGCTCTCCGCGTCACGCCGTGGGATTCGACCCAGAACGTAGGCACCATCTCCTACACCGTGATACAAATGGCATGCTTGATTTAGCTTTTTATATATACTTGGTATACCGGTGTAAAAGTATTGTATAATAAAGAGTATTTTACGAGGTGCAGTGCATATGGTGCTGTGTAAGTTTTGTAGCTTGCCAGTGTATGGCTGAAAGGCAACTTATAAATGAGGTTTTTAGGTATGCTTATGCCTACCGTCACACAGGTCCTTAGTTTTTTTAAAAAGTCTTTCTAAGAAACAGGCAGGTAGCAACAGGCAACAAGGGGGGGGGGGGGGGGGGGAAAAACGAAATAGGATTTTCGAGTTTGGGCAATTTCTCTTTTTTATTTTGCTTGTCAACTTTTTCAGGTAAGTCGAAAACATTTTTCTCAGGCTCCACCCCCCCCCCCCCCCCCCCACACTTTCAAAAACGATGCTACGTGGCTGAGAAGACGAAAAGAAATAGAAGTATAAGCTTTAAAAGAATAAGTAGTAATTTTAGAGAAACAAAAACAAGTTTTTAAAATACAATCGTACCTACGATTTCTTAATAGTTAAACTTGTACACATGTGAGAAAAAAAAAACTTTGAATCAGATCAAAGTTGGATAGCTTAGTTTCTTTTACTTTATTTTTAATTTGTACTTACATGCATTAGCTTTCTTGAAATTCCAACAGATGATAAAAGCTTCTGAACACCTTCAATCTATATAGCAGAACCACGGAGTTGGCAGTCTCTAATGATAATCCACACAATATCCAATAATTAGTGCACTTTATACATCTATGGTAGTGTTGTGCAAGAAACAGTATGCAGTGATGCATACAACAGCCCGTCGTAGTGATGTTATTCGGCTCAACTAAATAAACTTTCTCTTCATGGTTTTGACCAATAAAAGCTTTTCCTCGGGGACATATTAGGAATTAGATATGAGGTCTTTATAATCAGAATCCCGATAAGGGAAAACCAAAGTAAACCAGTAGCAAGCTCCAAATCGTTAGGAGGGATAAAATCATGGCCCAAAATCGTTAAGAGAGTTTTTAAAAGGAACACAGTTGAATATTGGGTTAGATAGAAACGTCTTTATAAAAATGAATGAAGAACATTTTTGAACAGCCATCGTTATAAACATTTTAGCTGGTTTTGCTATGACGTATTCATCTATCACCATGCTTTAGGATAAATATGATGGCCTCAACTTTTGAATCGTCGAAACTTCCCTAATCTATGCAGCAATATATCTTCATCCCCTGCATACTATGTACTTATATCTTAGTTTAATTCGAAAAGTAAAAAACTTTTGCTACGCATGAACAATTTCTAAGAAAGGTCAATTATTGACAAACAAGTTGCAGAAACAAGATTATCAGAAGACTTGTTTACAGTTCTCATTTCGTGAGCTCTATGATCGATACAGTGACCTTGATCAGCAAATATAATTAATAATTAAGTCGATGCTGACTGACTTTTCACCTGATCCTCCCTCTGATGTTTTGGAGGTTCAAGTTTACTCTGCAATTTTGTATTGTTAAGTGGACCTTTGTGCAGGTATACTTTTCGTTATCTCCATATATTTTATTTGCCTCTATGTTATTTAACATGGCTGCAGCGTTTTAATTCAAAGTGGTGCATTTTCATCTTTGGCAAAAAAAAATATAATGTACATTAATATTCTTTTAAAACTTGACATTATTGAAATTTAGAATGAGAAATTTTATTGACAATTCTAATTTTATCAGGAGAGTACTGTCCACACCTTAGTGCTTTGAATAACTTTTTTAACTATGATGAATAAGGGTATAATATGATCGGTATTTTGACTTTAAACATGGCGACCAACGGGAAATAATTCTTCCTTGTATCACTTTCGTTTTAAACAGGTTCATGATAAAGTCATTGACAAAAATATACACCTCGCTTCAAATTCGAATGTTTTTCTTCCTTATCGATTTTAATTATAACTTTTGGATTTATAACGTAAAGTCAACTTGCAACAGGGTTCATATTTTAGGAATTAGAATGAATAAGTTTAAACACTAATGTGAAGACAATGAATTACTTTGGATATTTCACAAGCTTAATATTAGTGCTACTATTTTTGATTCAGAATACTTATCATGAGTTTACTCCTAGTTATCCAAAATGTTTTGATCACATACCGTAAGTAATTAAGCTTTTGTTTAAAATTATTATAAATTATTATGCAGTGTATTGAATCCTTATTTTAAAAACCATGAATGTAGTAGAATATGCATATTAATCATTCATCTGTATTTCAGAAATACTTTTCGATGCTGTAGTAACTATAGAACAATTGGAGGAAAATGTTACCGTGAGTGCTTTTATTTATTAAATGAATCGAATTTATGCAATAGCTAGACAAGTTCCCCTGAATGACTATACAGCACTAGAAAAACGATGCCTATTGCTTTTAATGACCCGTAGTATGGGATGCAGAAAATCTAATGTTATAATAATTATACTTATTTGCCATAAATTTAGCATGCATGGACTCATTCGGAATTGAATGCAGCAAATCATGTCCTGAGGGATACCATGGTGTACAGTGTGAGGAAAAATGTCCTTGTAATACAACACAATACACTGTTGGATGTAATACAACAACAGGGGCGTGTTTCAATGAAACAAATAAAATCCGTAAGTGTGTATGATATGAATCCAACAGATAAGGTTTTAAATCATATATTGCACACCATCACAGTAGCTCAGTCGGAAGATGCTACATGTTCAGTTTGTCACGACTGACTAAGTCGGTAAAAATAAAATGGGTAACAACTGTTCCTTCGCCATGCGCATGGCACCTTGTAGTGAAAGATGTCGGTACTTCTGATGAGACCTGAAAAACTGCACGAGAGCAATTAAGGAAGGACGATACTGAATCAAAATTTTGTGGAAAAAATAATAACTTTTAACTTCATGTAGATATGTTGTACTGAATGAAAGATTAAACAGCAGAAAAAAATTAAGCAATCTACTTATTTGCTATGTAATTGATTGATAATAGAGCTTATGTAATTTCATATTTAATCTGAATGTTAATTAATAAAATCTGATCAATTAGATTTAAATTTGGTAAAGGTATTATTTATACTTAATTAGATAATGTACGCGAAGAAAATGGACCAATGACATGGATACCCATTTTATTAGGTCTGCTTGGAAGTATTGGATCTCTCGCAGTTCTTTTTTTAACGCTCTACATAAAAGAAAGGTAACTTTACAGATTTGCATGATTTTAAAACCCTATTTTATTCTGTTCATTTTTTAAAGCAGGGATATATGGTTGCAAAAGTTTACAAAAAATCCGTAACCATAATCGGGTTTTATTTTTTCTGCAATGGTTGCATTGTTCTGCATTAACAAGAAAAAGGCGGCTTATTTTTGATATCTTATTGATTTATCTGCATAATTTTTTTTTCACACATCTACAGGGGATGCTTAATCCTTTTAGGCACCTGATTCTATCTCGGAAATTTTCAGGGGTACATGTAACGTGTTTTATCAGGTCGAGACCACTAGATTTTCTGATGTCAGAATAAATTTGCAGGCAAATTAGCTATCTGTTTACTTTACCCACTGATGAATGAGTCGCAATGCATTGTGGGCTACGACAAGTACTCAGCTGTGTTGAAAATGAAGGCCAAATTGAATTGTCCCTTGGAAACTTATTTTTGATTCTTTTTTGAGATTTATGGAAGAAATATATAAAATGATGTATAAAGAAATATATAAAATGATGTATAATCTTTCATTTATATGCTCACATTTACAAAATATGCTTTATGAAGCCTTATATATCAACTTATAATACATCGGCCTAAACCATTGTTCGAAGAGACGTACATGTAGGTGCTATCGTGTCGATAAAGCATTTGAGTTTTTTTTTTCACGTGATATACGTGTACATAGTTTTAGACAGCAATACAAGGTGCGCTATTATTATTTAACCCCTAAATATAATTATCTAAAAGTTTTAATGTACATGCAAACATCAAAGCGTTTGCATATTATTCGAACTTTCGAAGCAACTATTAATCAAATAAAACAACTCCAATATGAAATGTGAGCATGGAGCAATGTCTTGGAAATGTTCTTTCAATTTCGGACTTGAAAAGTGACAAAGGAGCTCTATAGTTTTTCCGGTGACGAAGTGAATATTATGCAGAAACCGATGAAAACCACGTGTCGCCATTGAATCGTAAACACGTAGTAGAGTGTCATGCTTTCGGACTCATTCACTTGATTTGCGAACGGGTGTGACGAAGATACGGTCACGTGTTGAAAGTTGCCTTCCATATAGGGTAGTGGTCTCGACCTGTTTATGCCATATTCACATATCTGCATTGCTTATCGATTATTTTAATCGATCACTGCCCCTTATTTTAACTTTTTATATTATATAGAAGGAAAAATTCTCTAGATGTATTTTTTTAACATTAATAACGATAACACTGTTGAAACTTTATTATAAGTTTTAATAATATGTATTTGAATTAATTTGTTGGGTTTTTTTTAGATTCATTTTTTTCTCTGTTTCTTAAAAACCATTGTAAGCTGAAGACGTGTTGATATTAAAATTTATAACATAAAGCAATCGATCCTATATACTTCACTTTCATCGTTTTCTTAAAACTCGAAGGACTTATTGATTACAGACTTATCCTATACTAGCATTTATTTTTATTTTTGATTTTTGTTCTTAGTTGTGTAATTATTTTACTATTTGACAGGAAGAAATTAGTTCAAAATGAAACAGTTTTGGAGGGTATGTTGATTTACTAATGAATTCAGTCTAAATATTAATTGAAAAAATACGCTTTGATCCATCATTGTGACTAACAATTAAGCACTGAGTCCTATTAATTTCAACTGGAAAAAGCAATAATTATCATTACAGATCCACTGAGAAAGGAAAATACAAACGATGATCAGGAACAAGACGATTATGACAACATTAGAGAATCCCGACTGGTTCTTGACGATGATAGTGCCTGTGGCGGACAGCAGAGGTTCAAAACTTTAGACAGAGTAAGCTACGCAAAGACAGGGAGCATACAGAATCCTTACAACCAGCTCAGCTTTAACAGACTTAAAAGTCGAACAATGGACTTCAGGAATGGTGAATTATATAATATATCTGAAACTGGTTCGCTTAAAATGGACGTCGGCGACTATGTAACTGTTGCATCCGATAAAGCCGACTCTGAACCTTTAAACTTAAATGGCTCTAAAGAAGATAATGATGAACCATATAGTAATTACTACTGTGATGTGGCAAACAGACAACCAAAGAAAAAGCAATATTGTGAAAAGGGGAAACAAAATACTAATACTATTATTTCAGAAAAGAAGCGAAGAAATGAGTCGAAGGCTCAAAATAGGAAACCAACAATAAAACCAAAACCAGCACACCTTTGTTTTCCAATGAAAAATGAGAATAACAAGCACATAAACAATAGACCATATAGTCTTGAGAAACAATTAGACTGAATTGATATTAAAAGAGAAAATAAAAAATTATCAAAGTCTGAAAGTAATAATCGTTACATTTTTTAACAGTATGTGACACGTGGTTTTGAGGAAGTCAAACTCAATGGTCATGCGATAAATCACATGAGAAACAACCGAACACGGAAACATCAACTAGGAAATTGTAAAGAGGATCGTGAAAAGTGGATCGCAGAATGTGGTCTGCAAAAATAATATTTTTTTCAAATAATATTTTCAAGACAAACAGAATACAGAAAAAAAAATAATACGACGCCTATCAAAACAGTTGCCATCGAATGTGCAGAAATGCATACAGATGACAGAAAAAATTCAACGTTATCATGTCTTATCCCAGATGAAGTAAGGTTGTTCAGAGAGTATCACAAAAATCATAACAAAATTATATAATGAAAATCTGTATGACATTAGACTGTCTTATGATATGAGTAGAATTCAGTAAAAAAAAGATATAAAAAAAAACGTTGAATTTATGTTGTATATATAAAAATCATTCATTTTCTCTGAAAAATTATTATTAAAACACTGTGTGAATAATTTATTCTGTTGTTTTGTGTAGTTTCAATTTCGAAAATAGATCATTCCCTGTTAACTGTATTATTAGTTGAACTGAAGTTAAATTTAAAAGAATTCCAATCAATTATAGTATTTACTGCCTGAAATATTAGATACACTTTTAAAATGTATCTAAATAGGTTTATTAAACTATTTATACTTTAAGAATCCGTCTGTTTTTCAAAATTAAAAAATGCATTTTAAAGACATTCATTTCCAGCTATGATAATCCTTATAATTCATTAATTATTTTTGGATTATTTAGTTTTTGGCTAAAAAGTAGGTGATTTAAGTCTCAAAATTTTAATCATCTATAAAAGGAAATATATGTACTTGATGAATAAAACAGCTTTGTAAGTGCATCAATATGGACATTTTTCTCCTAGGAAGCGATCCTCATATATAGGAAATAATAAATGAGCCACACCTTTATACAAGTTTTACACTGGTTTATGACATCGAAATCAATAATTTTTTTAATAGGCACATGATAAAAAAAAAAAGAATGTTCAGGTCCAAGTTCGATTTATTCAGCAAAACCAAACTATTGGTACATTAAGGGTGCATTATTTTACAATTATGGACCGTTTAAATATTAAAAAAAAAACACCAATTATGAAATCCGAGAAGGACCGTCACCCAAGGGCGTTTTCCCTTGATAAACTGTTTCTGGGAAAAATTGAAAATGACTTCCTAGTCCATTTCTATCACCTAATCATGATGCAAGAGATTAATTAATTCACGTCTGACAAAAAATTAAAATTATTATGATTTTAAAGTTATTATTTTTACTTAGAGTGGAAAATATCAGACCAACCTCTCGTGTTCTTCTCACTCTTTCAAAATATATCAACATAAAACTTTACCTTGTGTTTATTATAGTATATTTGGGTTATTTAGACGGAGAATATTATATGCTAAAACCATATGGCATATCAGTCCTAGTGGTCCCAAATCAGCCAAACAAGGACCGAATGTTTGAAATAAGGATTAAGGTACGCATCATTCTACTTTTCATACATTTGAAATATTTTGGTGAGTTCCCATCAAGTCAATTATATCTAACAATGTTTCGAGCATATTTAATGACCTTTTGTCTTGACAATCTGAGTAATTTTTTGGTCATTTTAAGTCTTATTAAGTAAAATTTGGTGTGAAAATAATCTTTCAATAAAATGAATGAAGTGTGATTTCAAAATGCATATTAATCTTGCAGCAAAAGCTCGTGACTTTGTGACGGGGTTCAAAAAATGAATTCGACGTATTTCAAAATGAGTACTTATTCAAATCTGGCAATAAAACCTGCTTAAAAAATTTCATAAACACTGTACTTTGTACATGTAAGTACAAGCTGTTAATGTCATTGTATGTACAGACACCATTAGTGAAATACAGCTGTTTTGAAGGTTACAGGAACTGATTTCAATATGCAGCTGTTAAAATGTGAACCCATTCCACATTTGTGTTTATTTATAAATTCTCTATAGACAAGTCATATACATACAGCCTTTTAGAATATTAAATGTCGAATGCTTTTAGAGACTATCAAAATTATTGCATATTCATCACTTTTTCTATGTGGCAACTCATTTAAAATTTTTAAAATGTTTTTAATTTACAACATTTTCACCTGATCCGACCTCTGATGTTGTTGAGGTCCATGTTTGCTCCGCTCCTATTTTGCATTGTTTAATGGATTTTTGATCTTAAATTACTGTTTGTTATCTCCATATGTTTCATTACATTTGAATGTACACATATAATAAATTCGCAGATAGAAGGTCAGGAACTGTAATGCTAATTAATGCCCTGCGGGTGTCAATGTGTGTGACGCCAATGAGCAGAAATTAAGGAAACTATATCTGGAATCCAATGCATGTATCATATCTATACAATTTAATAGCCTTTCTCTGTAACCACTTAAACTTCGTTGCCACGCATGGTCACCGATTTTGATGAAACTTCACCCATGCTTAGTACTTGACACCAGAAACAAATATCAAACAAAATTTCGTTCCTATGTGTCTCGGTTGCCATGGCAACAGCCGGAAAAGTTTGAAAAATCGAGATTTTCAGTCACTTTAAATCTTGACTGTGGCTTAATAAAAACTAGAAAAAGCAAACAAACCATTCTCACAAAAACATGACAGCTTGATGTCACTTATACTGTAAAGAAACTGTTTAGAATATATCTCTAAGTAAGTGGTAACCAAAGGGTACATTTGGAATACATTTAAAATGCTGAGATATGCTAAAAAACACACCGTATTCACTAATGGTAGGTGTTACATGCTCAACTCAATCAACGACAATGAAAATATTTGACCATAAGTATATAAGTATAAGCAACATTATTCTATAAATAACTTTTATGGTTGCCATGGTAACACAGTGTAACCATGCAAAACCAGTAACTAAGATTGGGTTAATGCTACTGTCTTGAGGAAAAACATGAAAATTCAAGACTGGCAAATATGCATCCTTAGGACCTTGCAACACCAAAACCATAAGAAATATTGGGTATAATTGCTACTTTGCAGTGTTACCATGGAAACAAAGTACCAGTGCTTAAAAGCGAATTATTTTTTGCTGCATTAAGAATTAAATTGCCATTTAATCAAGAAACAAATGAAAGGACTCAGCTTGAATAGTACTTATCTGTTAGAACTGAAGATGAATATCATATATTGATAAAATTTGATGAAGAAAACAACACTGTTGCTATGGTTACCAAGAAGGGAAAATGTTCGATTTTGTGAACTTAATATCAATTTTAAACCCTGTGTGCCATTAGTGTCCCATGCTGGACTTTACGAAAAGCAAAGTGTATATCATGCCACAGTCACTGAATGGCAGCTTGTACATTTTGCCACTTTGCTTTAAGGTTAGACTGCCATGTGAAACAATTCACTGACACACTACCCTTAAATTTGTGTGTAAAGTGTCATGGTTGATATCGGCCATCGTATAAATAACACGCTGTCGCGCTAATACACAACTTGCGACGGCGTGTTATGCGAACTTCTGTTAGCGTAAGAGCGTGTATTGTGTTTGCGCGATGGCGTTTTTTCTGAACATGCTGTTGAGCTTTTGCATATGGTCCTTTCCGGACACCATACATGGCAGATCTTTCCATTTCAACATTTACTTCGATCAAATCATTTGAGTAAAACAACAATGTTTATATGATCAAAACTAGCATAATATCAGGCGAATAGGCGCTTTTGAGATGCTTTTTAATATGTTGGTCTTTTTTCATTCTAAAAATATACACTTTAATACGTGACGTTTAATTGTGACACAACGGCATCTCATATGTTTTCAGGTTTTTATATCTATTGTAAAGTTAGTGATTTTTTTCAATTATGAATTTGATTTATTTTTATGCATCTTTTGGAACATTGTATTTGATATGATTCCAAATATAAAAAATATGGACACTGTTATACTGCTGTATTATTAGCTCACCTGAGCCGAAGGCTCAAGTGAGCTTTTCTGATCAAAATTTGTCCGTCGTCTGTCGTTGTCGTCGTTGTTGTCGTCGTTGTCGTTGTAAACTTTTCACATTTTCATCTTCTTCTCAAGAACCACTGGGCCAATTTCAACCAAACTTGGCACAAAGTATCCCTGGGTAAAGGGGATTCAAGATTGTTCAAATGAAGTGCCACGCCCTCTTCCAAGAGGAGATAATTATGAATTAGTGAAAAATTAATAGCATTTTTTAAAAATCTTCTTCTCAAGAACCACTGGGCCAGGAAAGATGAAACTCATGTGGAATAATCCTCAGGTAGTGTAGATTCAAGTTTGTTCAAATCATGACCCCTGGGGCTAGGGTGGGGCCAAAATGGCCGACCAAAGTTTTACATAGGAATATATAGGAAAAATCTTTAAAAATCTTCTTCTTAAGAACCACTGGGCCAGGAAAGACGAAACTCATGTGGAATCATCCTCAGGTAGTGTAAATTCAAGTTTGTTCAAATCATGACCCCCGGGTCTAGGGTGGGGCCAAAATGGCTGACCAAAGTTTTACATAGGAATATATAGAAAAAATCTTTTAAAATCTTCTTCTTAAGAACCACTGGGCCAGGAAAGATGAAACTCATGTGGAATCATCCTCAGGTAGTGTAGATTCAAGTTTGTTCAAATCATGACCCCCGGGGCTAGGGTGGGGCCAAAATGGCCGACCAAAGTTTTACATAGGAATATATAGGAAAAATCTTTTTAAAATCTTTTTCTCAAGAACCAGTGGAATTGGAAAGATGAAACTCATGTGGAATCATTCTCAGGTAGTGTAGATTCAAGTTTGTTCAAATCATGACCCCCGGGCCTAGGGTGGGGCCAAAATGGCCAACCAAAATTTTACATAGGAATGTATAGGAAAAATCTTTTAAAAGTCTTCTTAAGAATCATTGAGAAAGGAAATATGAATCTAAAATGAAATTATCCTCAGGTAGTGTAGATTCAAGTTTGTTCAAATCATGACCTCTGGGGCTAGGGTGGGGACAAAATGGCTGACCAAAGTTTTACATAGGAATATATAGAAAAAATCTTTAAAAATCTTCTTCTCAAGAACCACTATGCCAGGAAATGTGAAACTCATGTGGAATCATCCTCAGGTATTGTAGATTCAAGTTTGTTTAAATCATGACCCCCGGGGCTAGGATGGGGCCAAAATGGCTGACCAAAGTTTTACATAGGAAGATATAGGAAAAACTTTAAAAATCTTCTTCTCAAGAACCTTTGGGCCAGGAAAGATGAAACTAATGTGGAATCATCCTCTGTTAGTGAAGATTCAAGTTTGTTCAAATCATGACCTCTGGGCCTAGTTTTGGGCAGAAAATGGCTGAC